GACGTGCAGTGTAACGCAGTCGAACGTGGCGAATAAAAATATAAAAAAAGATCAAAATTAGCTATATAATCTAGTTATTTAATTAAAAATACATTATGAAATGTCAAAATCTGTGGTTACTTGAACGCACAGACGACCGGTACATTAAGTTTACATGGTTGCGTTGCGGATAAGATCACCCCACACCAGATCACGATAGGGTACGCCGTGCTTCGCACCTCCTACAACCGCTAGCAAGCTCAGATCAGTCATTTCTCTATATATCGATATTTCGACAAATATATATTCGAAACTCTTTGTTCGACTTCTGATTTGACTGGGTTGGTATATTTCGATTATAGGTGTTACTGGTTAAGGTGTGGTCAAATTCCGAATACTAGTGGCATCTGTAACTTGGATTGTCACTTGTAGACTGATCCCACTGCAGTTGTGTCACCTGCTTAAATTCCCTTTTCTTGACTCTTTAATGAAGCATTCGTCCTCTAAGTCTTTTGGAACGTCTTGGTTTTTTTATATTTATCTGGAGAACACGATGAGTTGTGCAAATAATTCTGTGTTTGGATTCAGTCCTTCAGCCATTATTCTGTCTGATCTTATGTGACGTTTGAGTAGACCAAATACCGTGATATACTTTGAAACGTTTGTCTTCACGAATATCCATTGTATGTGCTCATGTAAACAACTTTTCAGGTAAATATGACTTATGTGCAACGATAAGGTAAATTTACGCAATCAAATGGCTGATTAACTCTTGAACTCAAAAAATTGTAACCGTATCTTAACACTACGACAAAAGACTAAAGAATTCAATATGTTTACTCCAGGTTATCACGAAGATATTGAAAGTTGACCGAATTTTGAAATGAAGGTTGTAGATTGTGTTCTCAAGGTCGCATTGTGTGCTTTGTTATTTATCTGAAAGTCTTTAAGCCAAAATATCAGTGTACGTTAGCACTCTGGATTCTTTTGAGTTGTAAGATCATGTCTAAAAGGAAAATATTACAAATTGAGCTACCCCGATATGAATATGGTGTTTCCACATAAGTTTTCCCTAATAATTGTTGTCTTTAATCGCAAATCACAGCTCACAGTTAGTTAGATTGTTCGCTTGAAATTCTCATATTCGTGGTGGATGTCGTTGGAGTTTGATTTTGATTGGATATAGGTTCTGCAAGTTGCCTTGGATACTAGATGAGTAATGTATTTTGTAAGATTATAATGCACTCAGCTTATTTTATTGTAAGGTTCACGCGGCTACTCAACCGGGGTTAATGGCGTTTCTGGTACAAGGCATAAGTTGCATTGCCTTGTCTGTTTTTTTACTATTGTATGAAAAACCGTGTGTTATAAAGACACAATCAGACCCATTTTCGAATTCAATCACAAAGTGTGGCAATTATCGAAAAATAAATATTTTTCCAGCGGCGTTTAAAATATTGGCAAGTGGCAAAAGGCGTATCGGATCTTTTTATTTCACGGATCCGTTGACCATCTCTAGATGCTTATTGTGATGTTGCTATCAGTAATCGCTACATTTTTAATTGTCTATTCTTGAGACGTTTAGTAAGATATGATGAAGGTGAATGACCACGTATCTTCATCAATGGAGATTGTTAGTCACTTTTGCCTTCTACGATGTTCTGGAAACATTTCTCAGTAAAATATCTAGTGGTCACATGTATCTGTTACCTTAAAAATATATTTCCATCTTGGATAAATAATCTCTCAATATATGATTACGTGGAAGTTACCCAAATTGTGTGTTGTCGGTTAGGGACTAGTGTATTTTAGAATAACATTCACCGTGCACCTCTGAATTCCGAATTATTTTCATATTGCTGAGCAGGTATGTGATTAGCTTGGACAGGTGGCATTTTGAATATGATTTGGAAATTCATGCATCTGTGTAGTTGTATGAATGTTGTGATAGACAAAATCAACTTCTGACTAGCGGCTTATATCAATATAGTTCACCCTTGATCCCATGGTGATACTTATTTCACCACAGAATGTTGGGTTTGTGGTGCTATCATAAAATCAATCTTGTTCGACGTTTGAAAAATTTATTCTTTCCATGCTAGTAAATTTTCGCCAAACCTTTTATGTCGTCCCCAAGACGGATCTATATTCATTGAAAACGCCTTCTAATTCGTATTAACATTAATCGATCTCTTTTGCATAACTTAGATTATCTTTGAATCAATGGTCCCTTTAAATATCAAATTTGGCTGTTTAGATATGTATTACAAATGTCGTTCGAGCGAATTTTAAATTAAACATTGCCTTGTGACCAAGACTGGACAAAGGATAATATAGTTTATGATGTCACTATGCTGTTTGAAAATTATATATTTGGTTAGCATCCGTTAGTACACCACAACTCATATGGGTTCCTGGAGGTCTTGCTACATAACTTCCCTTACTTACCTTTGTTCTGGTGATGTATGCATTTGCATCGATTTTGTATGTTTTCAACAGTGAAATGCTTCACTTCATGTTCTCGAAAAATAATTCATACTGGGTTGTTCGAATTTTTTTGAGACTACGCTTTTCGATAGTATGAGAAGCTGGAGATGGCCATATTTTCCAATTTGTTAATCAAAACTTAAGTACTGTTAAAGGAGACAATCACGATACTGACAACTTTTGAGCACGCAGCAAACTTGACTAAAATGTCATCATTGGGAGGATTTTTATCATGATATTCATCTTGAATGGTATATCCTAGTACAGATATTTGTCTTAAGCAAGTCCATTCCACCTACTTAACGGAAGTCTGATTTACATGATAGAAAACCGATGTTCAGAAGTGTATTCAACCACCAATAGGTGGTCAGTTAAGATTATAATTTCGAAAATTATACTCACCATTTTACAAAAAGGATAAAAATTGTTGAAATTTCCAAGTAAATCTTCATGTCTATCAATCAACTTTTATTTTACCGGACTTACCATCTTTACACTATTGACTTGTGTCACGAACCTACTGTGAATGAAATCTTGATGGCTTAGAATGTCCATCTTTTGTAAAGATATGAAGATATTTTGCTGACCTCAATGAACTGTTCTCATCTTGTTCAAGTTTTAAAGACTACCACTTCAACGATGCATAGTAATTCTAATTAAACTTTATAATTTAGTATTGAACGAATATATGACTATCTGATCAATAAGAATAAAATTTCGTTTAGTATTCCGAAAATTAATAAACATTTATATTAACAAATTAATTACACTGAAAATCTAATTGATTTCACACATATCCATATACAGATGTAAAACGTTTACTATAATTTGAAAATTACATAGTTTCACTAATGAAGTGGTCATTTAGTAATTAAATGGAAAAAAGAAATATTGATCAGAGAATACTTCTATTCTCTGACACTTATTTAGTAATCACTAACGTTGATTTGTTGTTCATGTCCTAACAACACACATTTATTTCTATCAGGGTTTTACTCTTTTAAATTATTAAGTTTAATATTATTGTATCAATGAGTCAGCCTATTTATTTTTGTGAATTATTCATTAATTTAGTGCAGTTCTAAACATAAACGTGTTATTTGTTGTTGCTTTAATTTTAGCTGTCTTAATACTTAATATTTAGCGATTGTGAATTCATACAGAGTATTTAAATTATGACATTTAATTAGTGTACTTTCAAACACCAACTGGTCAACTGGCGTGATTTATGGAATCAACGAATAATTCTATAAAACCATGTCATAATTTTTATACTGGAACTTGACTGCGGCCACAGAATCATTTAGCTATTGAATGAAAACATGGAAACTTCGTCAAACGAAAGTGTAAAATGAATCTAAATGAAGTTTTCAAACCATTTTCACTTCGATATGGCTAAGCTAAATTAATAATAACCATATCTGTAAGATATAATTAGAATGAGCTTGTTCAACATATCAGAATATTCACCATTCTGTACTTTTTTAAGTTGGTAGTTTTGGCGACCAGTGATTGTCAGCTTCAACAGCATCTAAATTTTCCTATCGTAATAATTTTTACTTGTTCAGAAAGGTTTTTGACCAACTTGTTTGGCATGGAGTTGTGTTTTACGATTGCAATATTCGATTAAAAATTTCTCAGAAAGTGGAGATTTCTTCTAGAAGATAGATATGGCCAATTAACAAGTAATCGGGAACTGAATATAAATCCAATGCTTCCCTAACGTTAGATTTCAGTCGGCTAATATCAAATATAGTGTAACACAATGTCTTGTGACTTAATTTATTGATCAGGTATAAAGTATTTATCTTATTGTATTTCATTTAGAACTAAAAAAGTAGAAAGTGATAATGCATTGATATAAGAACGTGCTAAAAATCATAACTTATTAATAGTAGACATTAGTTTGTGAGAAATGCCTCTAAACAATTCACTTAAGCTACTTAAAAGTGACCCAAAACTGGTTGGCATATTTACACTCGTATTTTTTAAAAAATTTATTGTTAAACACCACGGATACTAAGATATGTAAAATCATCGACCATAAAATATGTCAGCATTTGCCTATGGTGGTAATATGATTTGAGTATACAAACAGGTTAATAGATATTCCTCATTAGCAGTTTTGTTTCAGTCAATAACCTATAGCGTGTTTAAGTATAATACTAGTAAAAAACTTTACCAATAACGAAATCCTGTATTCCTTATCAGCGTCCGTTCATGCGGATCTAACTTCGATCTTCTTTCTTATAGGGTTTCTAGTCCTCTGTTGTTTTTACAAACATTTTAGTTGAGTTTTCAATTAAAGGAATAAACAAAGTCGCTTAGCTATGTGGCGTTTTTGCAACATTTTTTTTCTTCATGTATCTCCATATTTTGTCGCCCAAACGTACTTAAGTTTTCAGTTCCTTATACTGATGTAATAGTCAATTAAATGCTTTACTACTGTACAGCTACTACATTTCCTGTCTCACAACACCTTCAGTTACTTTTCCTCTGTATCCTAATGTTTCTAATCTTTGTTTAGATAAATAATGTCTGGCAAAAACAGTCATATAATTAGTGAGAGCAATGTAAGGAGTGAACCGTCGGTTTCAACTTGTCTACCGGATAGGAAGACTTCAGTGAGTTGAGATGAATTCTGTTCAGAAGTTTTATTTAATAACTTTTTTATGTTATAACGGAATGAATATTTTAGAGGTCGAAATTGTCTTTTTAACTTATCGTTATTCATAGTTTTACATAATTACTGGGTAGCTTTCTTTTCGTTTAACCCATTAAATATTTTTATACGACTTTGCCAGCCTAATTTATTGCTAGCCTATTATTTAGTTTCCCCTAATTATAACCACTCTGTGCTTGTTTGTGTGTAATTGTTGTTTTCCATTTTATGATGTTGCATTCTGGTATATCTACATAAATTATGTCTGTTCAAAATGCTAATGCAGTAGAGGTGGGTTTCTACTACTCGAGGATAGTGGTAGAGGAGAGCTAGCCAATGTTAGAGCAATAGGAACCTGACTCCTGGCTCACTGCCAATAGTGCTGGTCAGACGTGTAATAAGTCAGAGACACTAAGTTGTAGAATAGATAGCAGATCAACTTAGAATCAGGACCCTAATTGGTGACTGAGCACGCGATATTAACCGGTGGTCACAGGATAACAATTTACCTCATGTAAACTACCAAGATGAATAATCTTTGTGGTTTTTCGCATATCAAAACAAGCTAAAAATCCTGACAGTCATCATCAAGTCCACTATAAAATTTACGATCTAGTACCTTTACGAAATCAAACCTAGAACCTTCAGGTTATTCAACGACCCTGCTACTAATTAACCACTGAATTAAAGTATATTCTTCACTTTCGAATTATAGATTGTTCATAACACCTCGAATATTTTTTAGCATCACTTATCTAAGCTCTTCAAGTTTTGTTAGAAATTAAATGTACATTCACAAGGTAGTATTGACTGTATCCATCCTTCCTATAATAAACTCAGTTCCACGTCTAAACGAGTGCAAGTAATGTAACTAAGTAACTTCTTGTTTAAGGTTTCTCCATGTTTGAGACATAACTGAATCTTCAAGGTGGGACTATCATTATTTAATTTTGTCTGACACAAGAAATTCGTACACTACATATCTGTATCATAATAGCTTACAATACGACCATTTTAGGGTCCGGGTTATCATCATGATCGGTGGTTGGAGACGTTAATCGAGTCACTTACATGATCGCAGATATATTCACTTTTTCCTTATTCCAAACCTTGAGCCTCAATACTATTTCATCCGTTTTATTCCTCCAATACATCTTTTTTTGCACCATTTTCTCCAATATGCAGACCCTCTCACTTTTTGATTAACACCACTATTATTTGGATTTTTTTTCTTTGATCCTTTTCATTTCGTCTCGGTATTTGATTTAGTGTAGGAAAGTAAGCTGAAGTGAATTATTTTCTGGCTCCGCTGACTATGACTGACTTACTGCTATTCTATATTATCCCATTTGCACTGAAACTTGACAGAGCGACGTTTACTCACATTTACATACTAAGGTTGCCTCAGATAAAAGATCTCATTGATTCACCTATCTTATCCAACTAGACAGCTTTTAAATACACGAGCTAATTAGCTACTAAAGAGATTTGCTTACCTAAAAACGTCTTTCTCCAAACTTTAGGATGATTGCACACTTCCATTCAGTATGTCTAGTAAATATTGATGATTATTGTAGCCTATCTACAATAAAAAAATTTCAAGACTGGATCTAATTGTGAGCTTAATTAGCATTGAATAGTAATTTTGAGAGTGTACGAAAGTGATATGTTTCACAATTTTTCAGAAATGATACAGATACGCTAGAACTGGAGTTGTAATTCCGTTGTTAGGTTTCAGGATTTTCAGAAACACGCTTCCACTTTACTTAGTGATCAGCTATATTCCTTAGTACAGACTTTATTGCCATTGTTCTTTTTTATACCCCTTGTCTTGTAAGAAGCTATTTGAAATTCTCATCTAAACTGTAAGAATATCTAACTATGTTAGAATAATGTTCCAGAATAAGATCTATCATGTCTCTGCATGTTAAGTTCGAAATTTATAATTGCACTTTTGCTCCAACAATTTTTTTCACAGTAGGGATCTGTTTCTGATGTTGTTTCCTATTAATGGAGTCTAAGCATAAGTAGATTACACTATTGGTTCACCTCCCATAACTTACTGCTAAGCTTAAGGGTTAGAATGATGTTATTTTCCTTATTTTTGCGTTCATTTCTAGATTTGCGCTCATGAGACCAAACAGCCTTTGCCCAATAATAAGTAACTATTTATTTTCATATGATTGTATGCTAGACACTCCATAAATCTTGATATATTGCTCAGTTTTACCATATTTTCTATAGTTTATAACCAACACTATGTAAAAAGTGTTGAAGTATTCCCATTCACTTTGAAACTTCTGGGTTTTTCAGAGTTTGGACCACAGTGGGCCATCTGTACCAACTATGTTAGCATACGTTGATTTTCGGCCATGGTTTAAAGGGTGGGATCAACTTGACGTAAATGATCGGGACAAATTGAAGGACCTGGTAACATTTAATTCTACTAGTCAAATCGACTAATATCCAAATATCTAATGATGTATTAAAATTATCTCATGAACTTCAAAATTCCTTGGATTGGTGAATCTGGAGATATCTGGAATAATGTAATATCTCTAATTCCACTCCGATTATATACTATTTCTCAGTAGCAGTTATGAATCCAATTATTTCCAAAATATTTGCTCTGTTTTGCGTTACCCATGGGTAATAATATTTTAACATGCATATTTTGTAATACCAGAATACAACATTTTAATAAGAATTTGTGTTGTATTTTCCATGTGTGGTTGAAATTTATGTTGGGTGCTTGTACTAAGAATGATGAAGGCGATTTTGAAGCTTAGATTTTTCAATCCAAATATCCACAAATGAAACATACTTCTATTTATTTTAAGGGAACGTAATAATTGTATTTTACAATCTAGTTCATTTATTATATACAGATCTACATGCTGTTCTCTAACTCGCACCGTTTGATTGGAAATATGGCATCAATTTACCATAGTAAAACATTATACGTAATAGTTTATTCCCAATGGGTTGCTAATATTTTCATTTCTACTGTGTCCACGTTAAGGTGTAATTTTATTGTCTAGAATTTTCAAACTGCTATGAAACATTATGTTTCAGGAAATAACTCTTAAATGTAACAGTTAACGATAAAGAGACTAATGAAAGTTATGTAAGGTCCAATGAGATTATAGTGGATAACCGTACCTACTAAGTATTACAATACTCTCAGGATTATTGGTTTGTACTTGACTGCACTCCAATCTGAGAGGCAGGATATTATGATCAACCCTCACCAAATCAGTATTGTTTAAAACCGAAAATGTCTACTAGTTAGCTACAAATTAAAGGATGATGACGTTTTTAAACTGTGTTAACTTGAGATGCTCCATTATGTAATAAGACCAAACAAGTCCCGACATATTATGTTGACATTCCGTACTGTAGTTATCTTTTGTATTTTAAATTATGTAAGAAGATGGTTAGGAATTTTCTGGTCATAGTAATGGTTGTTAATCTTATGTAAAGGAAAAATTGAGAATTTGGTGGCATATAATAATGAACATGTTGCCAGAAGTTTACAACAGTTTTATTTTTTATTATCTTCATTTTTCATCATTTCAGATGACTCGTAATGAGCAACAATTCGAACAACGACCTCATCGACCTAAAAGGGCATTATCAAAAACCAGTGACGTAAGTTTATAACAATGTGACCAACTCAGCTAAATGTATCTATGAGTATTCTGATTGACAGTTACATGCAATGATAATTTGCTAAAAAGTTTGTCCTTACCATGAGTTACGTTGTTCTAGACATACGTTGTCTTGGTGACTTATTCCGTTTGATGTCCACTCATTCAGGTTGGTCAAGTCTTCTTGGAGAAGCCTATTGCCCTGTCTGAACCTTTGCTTCAACTCATACAGGCACACATGTCCGTGCTAAGATACATGTTTTACGGGTATAACCATCACAACACCAAGACCCAGTGTTAGATTTGCGACTGTTGAGGAGGCGAAATTGAACCCACACTTGGCAAATATTCATGACATGCACGCTAGAAGCATACAAGTTTGATACTATTGTATTTCATAGTATACAAATATGCATAAATACTTTATTTGGCAACTAAATGCCAGGATGTTTGATTTGCCAAATACACATTGCACATACACCAGAAATGTATAGGTACAAGACCTGCTCATTCCATGGCATATGTTAGCATAAATGACGTCTCTTTGATTATTACTGTTGTTAGTTTAAGTATGCGTTACACGCACAACTGAAGTACACAGATTAAATCAACCTATGAATTCCAAGCATACGTATAAGCATAAATGTGCTCATGTGTCCAACACGAGTTAAAACATTCTAATCCATTTTTTGCGGAAGATTGGTGGATTTATCCGATCCCCATCGACCGCCCAAGTCGGTTCGTTTTGCAGACACCCACGCACTGCAATTAACCCTGAATAAGATATTACCATGTATTCCACCTAGAAAATCCTTTTCATCTATTAATTCATTTGCTCGATGTTTTCATATCGTCCAGAAATACATGTCCTTCAGTTTAACGATAAATGAACTTGTCTTATCTATCCTATTAACTAAACTATAAGGGTGGCCAGTTAACCGAATTCCAGAATTGTTCATCACGGTTTGTATAATTTTCTCAACAAAATAGGGACCGTTTTAAAATTGTGAGACAATTTTTTAGTATTAACGAGTGTTATGATCTCTCTTATAACAACCCATCTACTCTTATTGCTTAGTATTGTGTAGACACTTTACTTCACTTGACAAGTTTCCAAATCAGAACACGGTTGAACAGGGACGTAATTATATTCCAAATAGACAAGGTCGAGTGGGGGTACGAACCACAACAAGAAGAACGTTAGTATATTTACAATTTTACACAAGATTCTAGAGACTTCTTCAAGTATCCGCCAGAGCTGACTGGGTAAGAAATAACCAATCAGCGTACTCCAACGCAATCGTGCAAGGAATATGCTTTAATCAAATGTATATCCCGTTAACAATAACATTGTCTACTTCAATAGTAAAAATTAATATACCGCTGAAAAACAACGTCCTGGTACAACGCGTTTCGGTTAGCTTCTTTTTTACTGGTTCATAACGAATTTGTATGGATCATGAAAGGCAATTATAAAAGTTTACAACTAGATATCGGTGATATAGAAGTAGACTGAAAGGAAGCTTGAAGAGGCTAAACCAGGAAGTAGGATTAGTATATGAAGTCGTCGACTGTTGACCTGAGCCATGTTAGTTGATGCAAGCTGCTTGGTATGAAATCGCTTATCAACGACGATCAGTGGTTAGCGACTGGTTGATACGATTCAAAGTCGTTCGTAGTGGTGTAGGTACATCCAATTTCTATCTTCAGATCTTCAAACTCAGTGTTCTTCCATACATACCTTTCCACTTTGTCTTTTCGAACTACATTCCCAACATTCAATCTTTCTCATTATCACTGCTACATTACTTTGAGCTATTTTACTATTCATCTTGTTTTCACATCGTTGTACTAATGTAATGTGACAATCTGGACTAACGCACATCTGTACCAGGCTGTACGTTGATTATGACTGATTTACTAACTAATTATTTTACACTTTTGTGACCTGGTTCGGCCACAAAATTCGAAGCGTATTATTTTGCAGTTTTATGACCTATACTCTGTCCATGTGAAATCTTATCTATTTGAGTTTCAAAGGTGCCATAACTCTTATTTCAGCTCCCTTTGTCTGCAGAAAGTGGTCTCGTCTGGTACTAATACTTTGAGAAAGCCTTCAGCTTAACATAATGTGGTTGAGAATAGTCGATACACCGATTTCATAAGTGTTATTTGAAGACACTGGCTTCTTTAGATTGGGTTCATTCTACTCAAGTGGTCTCAGAGATTTCCTTATATAGCATTATCTGGTATAGTCGGTGTTAAGTGGAAGCGGAAAGTTAGTTATACGCTAAGATGATGGTGGCTAGCAGTGAAATTCAGGATAGGCGTTTCATCCTACTTGGGACTCGTCAGCTGACCACCACTATCTCAGCTTATAATGCTTGTGGCTGAAGGCAACATCGATGCAATCCGCACAGGATGCACATATGCCAATAATAGTGTGATCGATTACAGTCCTAAACATCAATAGGAAGATTCAAGCAGCCAATACAAAAATGAAGGAAAGCTGGTTAGTTTATCGCGGGTAAACATTTGCCGGTTGATTGCACCTAGCTAAATGTGAACCTGTTTATGATCCGACTGAGTGGCTCGAAAAGTCGTCAGGTATGACTAACAGAATAAACACGGATAATTGTGCCGTAAAAATAATGTTACTCATGAATCGTAAATTATATCTACGTCCTGAACGGAGTCTATCTTGATTGCATCTTTATTTAGACACTATCCTTTGGAACGTCTTGAAGTCCGTAAATTGATAAAGAGCTTCAGAATTTTGCTTGAATGTGAAATTCTCGGCGTTTTTCTGTTCTATCAGAGTGTGCATTTTGAGGACTACATTTTAGAAATTTAATACCTCCAAATCGTTATTCGAAATCACGACTCTATGAGTTTCATTTAACTTTTTTAATTTTTAGGACAATGTTTTAGGGATTTCTTGGAAAGAAGAACAGGAATTACGCAAAGCCATGTATGTTTCTCTCAGAGATCAACAACAAACAAATTCGGATTCCAGTCCTTGCAATCACCTCATGACTTTACGTTTCCAATTGGTAAAACAACCAAGTATATCAGGACCTAGCAGTGCGAAATCGGGTTTAGCGAAGCCACGGTCAACCATTCAGTTTAAGCATTCTAGAAAACAAGTTCGCCCGAAATTTGTCTCTGCGAATACCATCTTTCCTAAAGCTAGAAACGCTTCCGGAAGTTCTCCGGATAAAGAAGTATTAAAATGTGATTCAAACAGCAATAAAACAAATGTAAGTGGATGTTGTATGTGCCATATGTTTCAGCCTGGTTGTAGCTCTATGCAAGTTGCCTTTAAGTTTTGGTATTTTAGTACTGACTAGCAAAAAATCGTAGTGCAAGTATTTTGTGCCTCGTTTTTGGTCTTATCTGAGTAAACTTTCTATAAAAGAAATTAATTCATGAGTATTTAATCAGTTATGCAGAACCTGTTAAAGTCGTTAGTCTTATTATTAAGTGTAATTGTTTTCAAAGCTGCTGGGAATTAAATGATTAGAAAATAACTTGTTTTCACTGTAAATGGATATTATTTTTTCCACCTTATGAGTTGTTAAATTATCATATCCAAACAAGCTGGGTGAAAATTAAATTATAATCTTATGCTGTCTGAATTATCAAAGCATATCCAAAAATTAGGATCAGTCTTTGGTATGTGTGGTAACATAGATGCAGCAACGGTGTATCTAATTTCCTTTTAAGCAAATATCTTTCACTTTGTTTTTATTTATTTGGTTGCGTATTGACATACAGAATAAGTGACGTTAAAGCCATTTTCTCTGAAATATGGAACACTATTTGTGATCCTTTATTGTACGCCTTCTGTGTCGCAAAAAACAGCTCTCTGTGTTATCGGTACTGGTTTTACAAATTTGTTTGTGAAGCTCTTTCACAATTTTAACTATATCTTCGCACTAATAATCGATAAGGTATGTGTCCGTGGACTGCATCTTACCGTCAGGATTTCACGCGAACGAGGATAGATCACGAAAATCACAACTGATTCAGCTTTTACAATAATTGTATCGTATACCGCAGGCTTTGCAGTTTCATAGTAGGTCTTAAGAGACGGTCTTTGGTCACAATTTACCTTGTAGCTACGATTCGTATAAAAAAGTCTATCATAAGTATGATGCACTCAAACGTCATAGAAGGTCTTACAAGTCAGTTTTACAATGTACGATTAGTAGAATCAGTGTTCATTCAATCTAAAATAATAACTAGTTATATGCCTTTTCACCATAGTTTAACATTCTGGTTCACGATTTTGAGTCCAGTCAATCTTCTAACCATTTAAATGTTAGTGTTTCTTCCTCGCCAAGATGTAAGACAGATTTACTACACAATCAAAAGTCGAAAGAATAACTTGTACGGTTATATAATTCTGTACTAACTCAGGCATCATAGTAGTTTAATTTAATATGATTTACTAAAACTGAAGTCTTTTACAGGTAAAAGTTGTTATAGGATGAGTATTGTTTGTTGCAGAATTCGTACTAAAAGATATTGTGATAGTGTTATAACTTAAAATTAGATAGTTTGTAATGACATTCGTTTGTGGTTTGTTAGATTAATGAAAAAAATCCTGATCGATTGGTTATATCCAGCTATATGATGTGGTTAAATGACAACTACTTACGAGGCTGAAATATTGATGCAAACCCTCAGTTGAAGAGTTATCAGTAAACAAAACAGCTGTTCAGTAGAATCGGCTTCTTATCTAATAAAATAATCAGCTTATATTCAAAAATATTAACACGAATATAAACGTGCTTAGATGTTATAAGCCATTGGAAAGCATCACTTTTTTGGGTTACACTATCTCCAGTCAATTAATACTTAACTGTTATGTCTAATTTGTGGCCGTTATGTCACAAACCTTCTTGGTTGCCCAGATAATGTAAATTTACTTAGCATTTATTTCTCTCTCGTCTTATTACGTTTGTTCGGTGAATTTGGTTAAACGTTTAGTAAATGGTTAATAAAAAGTTTTAAAATGTTTTCATTGTTAATGATTTCGGAAATTTGTCCCCAAAAGATACACTTTTCTGTTGAACAATTTAAATTGACTGTATCTTAAACTTAGATTCATCCTAATATTCATACATACTTTTCGTAATTATATAAAATCTTAAATGCAATTAAACTTCTGTCGGTATCATTTATTTGATGTCTCCCTTTTTTCGAACATCTTACAGGCTGAATCAACTTATGACAATCACAAACCATATGTTGTAAATACTTCACAAAACACTAGCCACATTTGCTTACGAAATTTATACCATAGAAGAAATCCAATTAATCATATTAATATCAACAATCAGTTGATTGATAACGATGCTAACAAGCAAACCTTATCTAGTTCTGCTGAAACATTTGAATTTAACAATTTATCATCAAATTCTGTCTCAACTAACTATAGTCGACGTCCTACTTTGATGACTGCTTCAAATTACTTGAAATCAAATTCGACTAACACGAACAGTACTCAACGGTAATAAAATTAGTAGAATAGTTTTTCTTACATTGTCTTTGTACTAATCATTGTGTAGTTAGCTTGTTCCAGAAGTATAATTGATACATTTAATTTCGTTTGTTTCCTTTTTTGATAGGTCTCATTTTACATGTTTGAATATATTCACTTTAAGTTGGAGTTCCTTCAGGTTACCCGAATTCCCTGGTACGGCTAAGGGCGGGAGAGGGTCAACTCACCCTCTCAAAATGCTCTCCCATGTCCACGCGTAAACAGTTACTGCCAGGAAGGTCCTACTTATTGAATTTTCGCGACAAGGTTTTTTAAATGAAATTGAGAGAACAGAAAGCGAATTTCCAGTCCTTTTTATCGGGTCTATGATTATGGAGGATCCACCTAAGGGAGTCGGAAAACCCTGATTCCAAACCATTGGTGCACATGGGCTCAAGGATCCTAAGGGAACAAACGGTGTATGAACCTATTGTTGGTCACTGGCTACCATGGGACTACATCTAACGTTGCTCCACTGCCTTATGGATTAAACCTCTACGTCAAAGCTCGAGGAGTGGCCCCCTAAGAAAACCACCTGATTCGGTTTGGGCACCCGGACAGTATTCCCTACTCCCTTAGAATATATTCAGGTTTTTTGTTCAGTAATGGCTCACTTAATTAAAGTCTAAGACCACATATTTTCCTGCATAATTGTGAATGACAGTTATGACGATCTGGAAGTTCATCATTTTAACGTTATGTTCATAATCAAAAAATAAAAAAGCTATGAATCCCCTCTAAAATGCTTGTAATGTATTGGACTTTTGATGTACAATATTCCGCGTTATATTGTGTTTTACCTTTTAATATCATTGCAGGCTACCTATATTTTGTTACTGAAATTTTATAAACCATTAAAAATCAATATTGCCTAATTGAGATGTTCATAATATTAGTAGCTAACATTTGTCTCAATAATCATACTGACTGTTTTGGAGTTAAGAGAAGTTACTACAATTGATCCAAAGTTATTTTTATTTGTCTGGCGGACCAATGACATGTCTCGAATGCAGACTGTATTGTATGTTAAAACTTTTGTAGGAATTGTAGCTAACTGTTTAAAAGTCGAGATATGATTGGAAATACTGTGGCAATTTTTGATCCTTTCAGTTTAGTCCGACTAAACCTGTTAATCTTTCGTTCATTCAGGATAAAAATTATTACTATTATTATTATCTAACAGCACATGTCAGTTTTCACAATAGATGACTTTATTAGCTATTGGCTAAATGTCCTGTTGTGATTACTTCTCTAGCTTGCTCCTGGCTACAGTCATTCTTCACTGATTCAGCAATCGAACCACTAGGCCGTGAAGTCTTCTTTGTTAGTGAAATAGTATTGTTAATATTAACAAAAAATAACCCTTACCCTGTAGTCAGGGCCACATTTTCTCGCATAAGTTATTGCTCCACTTCTATTATCGCCATAGGTGGTAGCGTTATCATTTAGTTTATCCTTTAATTTTGTTTGTATTCATCTTGAATGAAAGATTTTAGGCTGTAAATTGTTTCAAAGTTGTTTATTTAATACATCTTGCAGGAAATCTGTTAATAAAAAAAATCCTAATTCATCGACTTTAAGAAATGGCTCTTTCCGATCAGAGAACATTGATACATTCGCTACATGCAGCTCTCCCAAGAAATCGATGCACAGTTTTAAAAGAAGATCTAAACAACTGATTAGTTCAGTCAGTCAAATATTACCTATTACAGGTGAGATTACCTTCACTTTTAGCTTCTCCTTCTTTCTCCTTTTCTTTTCGTTCCATCATTTTTTGTCAACTAAATAGTGTACAAAACTTATGTCTCCATATTTAAATCAAGGTTTGTGATGTACTTTGGCAAATGGTTCTTAATTTTATTTTGAATTTCACTATCCATTTTTCACATGTTTCAGTATTCTGTACATTTTCTCAATAGAGTTTGGCTGAGACAGAGCAATTAACATGAAAGCTACTATTTTTTTATACTTCTAGAATACTGATTTTCCGTGTCATCAGGTTTCAAGTGTTTTTCTCATCCTGATCGTCATTTCAAGTTATGATGACAGAATTCATACTACTGCTTGTATGTAGTGTTTTTTGTATTCTAGCGTTTCGGCTCCTTAACGTTCTTTTTTTATGAAGTTTAATGTTTTGAAGGTTGATTGTAAAGTTACGACGACAAATATCATACCACTGATGTCGATTGTTCCAAGTGATGTATGTTTTCTCATTTAATAAGGTTTAATTTTGGCTGTATTATGACCCGTATATGATGACGTTGTAACTGTCTTTTTCCTACATATTATTTCGTTGCAGATCGTTTATGTACCATATGTTTCTTTTATAATTTGACACTTAACTCGTGCTTTGTCAGTCTTTATTTTGAAGTTCCTTACTTAAATTATACGGATTTTTATTGTCTTTGGTTGCTAAGACTGAAAGACGGTAAACAGGCTAAGATTTCATTATGTCCTGGTGATTCACTCGAGTGATGGCGATAAATATTTTGAATTCAGGTAAATGATTTTATTTTTTAAATACTTATTCACAGTTGCGAATTTCTTGAGAACCATTACAACTTCTAGATCCAAATTTTATTATGGATATTGCAACCCTTCAAAAGTTGTCTTCAGAACGGTTACTTGATCGGAAATCATTTAAGCATTTATAGTGATATTTTCGAATGAATATGTGCATGTATAACAGTCGTTTGCTATTTTGTAAGTCTTGATGTGATTAATGAACATCTCATCACTATTTCAAACGACATTATCAGTGCTAACTTTATTAAGAAAACCAAGTATACTTCTAAATTAGGTTAGTGTTTAGGCATTATTCCTGTTGATCAGATAGTACAACACTGATGATAGGTCGCAGTTTACTTTGTAAGATACTATGCAACCTAACTGAACCACCTATGTTTTCGTAATACCTGTATATTCGTTAATTTTGTGGTTTAATCATTCAAAATATGCACTTTCTATTTATTTTTTTGACAGAACCTGATGATAACACACCTAAATGTTTTTCAAACCTTTATTATGAGAGTGATTTCCAATTGCATTCAAAATCACCATATGAACCTTGGCAAGATGATATTGGTCGACTTGCCTCAGTGCATGATTTCATTAACTTTGTATGCTTTCATGGTAAGGAGATTTGTTTGATGAAAGACAACACATATCCTTTGTTCTTATTTTTTAAAACTTGACATTGGATTTACCAATAATGGGATCTGAAATTTTCGCTCACGTGTAAACCGAGGAATATTTTAACAAGAACTAAATCATAAGTCATTGACTTTTCATATGTTTAAATTATCATTGTACAACCACATGTAACTTTTTAATCACCAGGCGGTCTGTACGTTCTTAACATTTTACCTGCCTTCGCTATGCCTAGAATAATTATTACAAGTGATAATTGACTCACCTGTCTGAATTTCGCTAGTCTAAAGCGATTGTTACTCTCCATATCAACTTTCAGCACTCATTAAGTACATATTCTCATAATAAAAACATCTTTTATGTAGCTCATTGTTTTAGCTAATTCTATCTTGCATCTCTCTGACTCAACGACATAAACGCTCTATAATCACCTTGTAAGTTAAAGGATCGAAAGCTACACATACTTCGGTCTAGGTTCCTCAACCGCTTCATATCCACCTTGGTTGAGTGAGTAGATACTGTGTTTTATTCAAAGTTTATCGTTGGAATATCTCTTCAGTAACTTGGTTGCACCATTTTACTACATTGACAAACAAGGCTATTCGGCCTGTTCTATTATCAATATTCAATGTTCACATCTAGTAAAATAAAATGTTTGGTACCAGTAACTTGTTAAGTCGTTATGCATTTTGATGCTGTTTACCAAAGATTATAAACATTTTAAAGTGATGGGTACAACATTTTCTGCTTTTGGAAATTCAGTCAACTGCATATGATCGACCTGTAATCGTCGATTTACGCCACTTTTCCTCGTTTGTATATATATGATCATGGACTTTTCTCCTGGCTGACTCATTAGCACTTTTTGTCACTGGTCAGTTTCGATTGCTTTCGAAGTTTCATTTTATAAAAGGATAATAACACTACAGGACTTTGTAGGTGATGACTTAAATTAGACTTCAGTTAATTCTTGCTTCCTCATACTCTTGATTATCAGCAATCCTTTTGTCGCAGAAGTGCGTTAATTTTCGTTTTGAGTGCTTGTTGAATGGAAATATGCTAATCATGAACGGTCCACGGTATCGGTTTTATAGACGGAATACTAGTAACCGGTATGTAAGTGTCATTTCTGTGTAACTATATTTGTATAATACTCAAATTATTTTTTTATCTTGTAAATTTCATCATACTACACTAACAATCTTTAGTTTGTTACTTTCTGTCGAACAAAAGACTGCTCAGCGACTGGAGATCCTAATACAGAATGGTTCGCTAGTCCATGCAATATGCAGAGTTTACCTGTGCCACGTACGTTACAAAGTAATCTAGGGATATCTATATCCGATCATAATAATAAAAAATGTCCCAAAAACCCCAACATATCAACTCAGCGCAAAAGTTACAAATCTGCTAACTTACACCGTATAATCAACAACGTTGCAAATCGTCAATCTGTGAAATGTTCACCAGTCACAAGGTCAACTAGTTTATGCGTGGCTAAAAAGCTTGCATCTAATCAACCATCTCCGGCTGTATATTCTTCAAAATCACTCATTTCTTCACCTTTAAAAATGGGTATACCTGATAATTGCTTTTTGCTTGATGGATACAAAATTTGCGTCGAGGAAAATAAGCCGTCCTCCACAACTTTAATATCTTTAGCTGCATCCTTTCAAACAAGTAAACTTAAGGTAATTCTAAACTTTTTAATCCTTTATGAATACCGTTTTAATCTTTGAACCTATCAACCGTATATTGGTTGCGTAATCTTAGTGAATCAAAAAACTGCGAATACATTATATGTGATTTGGATTGTACTTTCTCAATAATCGGATGGTTTAGTTGTTCGTTTGTCAACCTAGGCACTACAGAAAATCAAAACACCTGTCTGCCAATTATTGCATTCATAGCATCCAAGTTGTTTTTGATTTCACAATCTAATGAGTCAATATTTGTTATCACACGTGCTCCAAGATATTTCGATCAATTGCATAATATTAAGATTAGCGGCAAGTTTACGATGTGAAAAAATATCTTCAAAAATAAAACACTGACTATCAAGACTATAAGTAATGGTTTTCATTGGAGAACATCACTTATGTGCTGGTGAAATTCCAATAGATGCTACTTCTAAACGTTTATATCGTGTATTTTCTCAAGTTTTAGAACCCCATCAGTGCTCTGGAATGTTGGCTGTTTAAGATTTTTATGAACATATGTATATACTTCATGACACAATACAGAATTAATTGATGTTTCCAACGTCTTTATAGTTATAAAAATGAACAGTAAATTCATTGTTGAATGAAAAATGCATAAAACGAAACAGATCAACCTCTGAATCAATGGATGTTTAGCTCTTAAATTTTATGAAAAATCAGAATGAAAGAATATATTTCAAAGACTTCATGTATTCATTCTTTTGTGCAGTTTATGACAATCACATACAGTTAAACCAATACTAAATAAGTTTTGAGTTGTTCATAAACCTCAGGATTCTGCTCTAAATATTCCTGTTTTTGTAGTATTAGATACTTTTCACACAAAACTAGAAATGACATACTACCAGGTTTTGTAAACTCTGAATAAGGTTTTAATTACAGAAAATAGCGAACGGATGTTCAGTATAAAATAGATTGTGTATTCTGTTGTTGAACAAAACTTATTTGTCCTCACTTAAATAAAAACAATTTTCAGTGTTTAGAATTTTTACAATTCTTGATTTTTACCATGTTCATCTGTCTGATAGTGTTGTGCGAATTTCGAAATTGTACTTAGGAAGTCACTTGATTTCCTAGTATACTTTATTGATGCTATTCTTGTAGAAATCCTTAATCGCACAAAACTGCATTCTCAGTATTACATTTCGACGTCGAGATAGGTTATACAACTTCCATATATGTTTAGAATATGCACATGGGGAAAGCGAAAATCTGAGAGAAAAACACATCAGTAAATATATATGGATGTATGTATGTTTGAAATTGTAACTACCATATTGGTGGGAATAAGCTTTTTTCCAATCTCATTCAGCTTTTTCGCTAGCTGAATAAAAAAGCTTCAATAAGGTTAAAGGGAAAATAAAGACCCTGATAACAGCTACCATTCTTGCAGAATACATTATTTGGTGTTACTGGATTAGTTCATTTTACAAATGAATGTTACTTTATGTATTTTAAATTAACCGTTATTCTACGACGGTCACTTCTTATTTACCTCATATTTTAACATAAAAATTTGGTATTTTATTTTTCCATACATTTTAGGTCATGGACTACTAAGTTGAATCAATAATATTCGTTATCATCGGTTGTCTATTCAGTTCTATCCCATTTTTTTGTTTGGATTCTCTTTGTGCTCAGAATTTTAATATAATTCACAATAATACTGTGAAATGCATTTACTTTCCTAATTTTCATTAATTTATCTATTATGTTTATTCTGGGTTTTTTTAATACACATTATTTGCTTTCGAATACGGATTTATTAACTTTTCGTTTTGGTAGAGTTTCTTGAATTCCTACTTAGTAAGCTATCCATATTAGTTCACTCTATATTTTTCTATCATTCTTAAAATCTGTGCTAGGTTAGGCATCCAATGGTGTCTGTTGTTCAACATCGTAGACTAACTGGTTACTCTATCTTCGCTCCTTCATTTTGAAAAATGGCCCCAGATCTCCAGGGCTGTCTGGTGAAGTTATTCTACTCACTTGGTTGCAATGATCAGTGGATTTGACAAGTATCTTCATAGTCGTATTTTGGGGTTAGTTGGGTGCATTTGTTATAGAACAGTGATTTTCTAGGATCAGGAACACATGTCACCATGTGATCTTATCGTCGGTTCAACCAAACGTCGAAAAGTTAAAGAAAACTGCAAATGATGTAAGACTAGTGACTAGATTTTATATATGGAACAGATAAATGGACATTGTAATTATAGTACGACGAAACATGCGACATCCTATCAGAGTACTTGTCTTGGTTGGCTAATTACCTTTCCTTTTTTAGTTTTAGAATACCATACATAAACACCTGTTTGCTAAAACCGAGATGAATGTGCATGCAGAATACAATTTTATTTTTAACAGTAATGAGCCACAACCGCTGTCACAGAAGAATTATTAAGTGAGACTATAAGTTAGAGACGAACCAATCAGGTATGAGATAACAGGTCTCGGGTTTTGGCGCGAAATCCACTCATCCATTCGGTTAAACAGAGTTTTGGCGTCATAGCTGATGTCAGTTCGTGATGAAAACCCAAAGTCTAATTCCTGATTTTAACCGATAACTGTAAGTCACAATTCTAATTCCTCACACAGGTTTATAACCCTCATTTGATCTTAGTTATTAGGTGGACACTCAAAGGTCGTCCATAAATTATAGTCTATAATGGACGACCTTTGAGCGACGCTAGACTGGCCTTGGGAGTGTCCCCCTGATAACTTAGACCAAAGGAGGGCTATAAATTAGTGTGAGGAATTCGAATTATGATTAACAGTTGATAGTTAATGTTAGGAATTAGATTTAAGGTTCTCATCACGAACTGGCATCAACTATTATGTTAGGACAAATGGTTGAGTGAATTTCGCGCCAAAACCCGATACGTGTTATATTATACCTGATTGGCTTGACCATAAATTATAGTCTTGCCGATTAGTGAGTCTCATCTTCGGGTCCTTCCACAAAGAACACCCTGGTTTCCATCATTCCTTGATCCTCTAGTTTGGTACAGACATTTTTTGTCTGCCTTTATCTTCAGAAAAACTTCTTTGCAAAAACAATCTCCCATATTTTGATATTATACTTATTTTTTGGCATCATATACGCACAATGGTCGGCGCCCTTGAGCGTAGTACTATATCTAAGCCTTTTTGCTCACACGCGATTTGAAGAAAAGGCTGTGTATTTACACTTGAATTAATCTTGCTTTTGTGTGTTTATTGCATTGGAAGTACACTTGCTCTATTTTAACTTGAATTATTTCTGTTAGAGCTTGAAATCCACTTCAAATCTGTTTTGTGACAATGGTTTTTTTTAGTTTGTCTTAACATTAGTGATTATCTTGTATAGTTTTGTTAATTTTTCCCTATGAAGCTGATTAAATTGCTGGCTGTTCTTAAAGATGCGGACAGTCAAAATATTTCTCCCTGTGGTGAGCCTAGACGGGTTTAAATCCCACAACATATCTATGATTTCTGCAATAATGTCGTAACAGCTCAGGTATAGAACTGTTGATGTAAAAATGAAGTCCCACATTTTTGGTTTTAGAAGCTTCTTAAACTTCAGTCACGTGGGAAACAATGATCATTAAGTTCAACATCAAGCTCGTAGTCGTCCAAACATTCAAATTTTTGGATTACTAGATTTCGAACATCACCTTGTGATAGTGTGCTATGATTGGTATTGTGTCTTTTACAAAATTTATATATTTATAACAAGAAATGTAACAGAAACAGAGCAAGCCGTTAGATGTATATAGATATGCTCGGTAAATATAATATAGTATCACTAGATATTAGTGGTCATGATTCTAAAATAGTACCTGAAGACCTAGTTAAATCTGTCATTTCCATAAGCAGTCTGAATGTGACTGTTCCGAATACCGTAAAGTGGATGACGGCGTAGAACAGGAAAAATGCCACAAACAGCACACAGGCAAAAGAAACCGAAATAAGTTCGCAAACATTTTAGACGATTTGTCGATCTTGGCTGAGATGCTTTTCAGGACGAAGTGAGTACACCTCCCTCTGTTGATGGTTTCAAAAACCAAGTAAACTGACATGTTTGTACTCATTGTTTGTCTCTTGATCGAAATGGCCATTAATTATACCTAGCAATAGGAAAGAACGTTCACGAAATTACTTCCAGCTGACGCGGGTACGACAGAAATGCCAATATCCGCTAAGAATAATCGTAATTTGGTTGTCCTGGATGATGTGAAGTAGACAAAAGAGAAGAATAGGAAAAGGGTCACAAATAACACACGACTGGTTAAATTTCTTTCCAGACTCGGATTCTGAATCACCGAATACATCGCTAATTTCTCAAAGTAATGGTAGACTAAACCCTAACGGGGCTGAGAAAAGCTTTATCTCATAGAATATTATTTTAAGTAAGAATAGGTAAGATAAACTGATAAACGTATTGAGCAGTGATCATTTAGACGCTTTTGGGTACTCCAAGGGTCATGGCAACAACGAAATCTTTCGTCAAGTAGTGTCAGAGTCACAAAAACACGCATACTGTAGTGAGACGTGATGTGTATCCGGAAAACAGAATAAAAAGGAAAATGGCACTAGCCGGACTGGACACGAGTCTGCAAAATGGTTGCAGATGTCACAGGTATTTGGAGTTTGACAACGCTCTAATCAGTAACAACCTCTAATATGAAATCGAAAGTTAGCAGTGAGGTGGTTCGAAGGTATATTTGATAGGCCATCAATATGCTGATAATTGACTGATCCAGACTAGCTAGCGATTGCAGGGGATGTTGAGTACGGCGTTACCACTCGTGATCTGGTGAGAATACATTACCGAGCGCCTTCAGATAGGTGAGTCCATTAAATGTATTGTGGACAGGATCAAACGTCAAAGACGTACAGAGCTATTGATTTCGGGGGTTTATTTTTCTCTACAGTTGACTCGGATATCGCTACATGGTGAAGTAAATCTCCGTTTAGCGGGTTTCTGAGATTATGGTCTAGTTCGGTATTAGTATGTCAAAATGCGCTGACAAGTATATGTCACGTTGGGTTCACTAGAGTAGTATTATGTCATAGATTGTTATTAATGTGGTATATGCTAGTGATGTCGACAGCTATAAGGACTATGTAACATCAGTTGGAAGTGAAAGATCTGGGAAAAGATCGAAGAAGAGAGAACGAGAACAGTGAAAGGTTGCTGTGGAAATTAAGGGACAGTGAAATTTAAGACGATTGTTTGTCACCTACAGAGGGAATAGTTAAGTTTGAAGCAATTGATTAACACTGCAAAATAAGTATTAACTGTATGATTCTCAGATTTTACAAAGATGTTCTGTAATTCTGCATTAAAATACATTCGATTTCCCCAAATGTGTTCTCTTTCACAGCATTAGTATTGCTATAATTATAGACTTAATCATGAAACTGTAGATTTGTCATTATGCTAAAACATAATATATAATATCTAGCGTGGAAGTCAAATAATTGCCTATTCTGAATTATCTTACGTCGTGATCATCAATCTGAAGTCTGGCTCTTCAGAAGAACACAGTAGGGCTGGGGAAAAAGTAATATATTTGACTCAAATAGTAAGAGATCGTAAAGAGTGAAGGCGCTTGCACGACCAAGCCAAGCCATTTAGATTCTCTATTGTTGCGTCCACCACTATTTATCTACCCTCAGTGTTACATGTTGAACATAAACATCAGTCATTTTACGCTCAGCTTCAAAGATAATGTGGTTAGGGACCAAATATATTACATACTTTTGCATGGTTAGTTCTGGTGAAAGAATACCACCAAGGCTTGGATGAATAGATGCTTCTCTTAAGGAGTCATATACAAATGCTCGTAGATCATTAAATAAATTCCATTAACTTGGAATATTAGTGAACGTTCTTACGAATGTCCTTTCTAGGAGGAAGCTAATGTAACAACTCAGGTTGTTTGGTTAAGAGTTGACTTCAAACAACTAATTATATTTCATAACAATAGAGCTCAATTGTTCATTCACGCTCTTATTTTGCATAGGCAAAATATTTTTATTGTCTTATATTGAATGTTGAAAACTATCTGTTTGAACAGGTAACCTACCGCTCCCCTGTGTACTGTCTCACGATCTAAATAATGACTTATTCACTACTAGTATAGTTTACTCTATAAATTGAACGAGGGTTAGCCACATGCACGAAAAAGTGTTAATGACAGATGTCTGATATTACGAGACTTTAATGCACTTCATAATAGTTGGACAGAGATGGCCAACATAAGATGTAAAAACTTACTTGACAGTAGACTCCTGATGACTGTAATGGAGCGTGATTTAGTACGGCATGTATCCGAACCCACATGTTTTGGTTCAAATCAAGGGTATTCTTTATTCCACCTTGTAATCACTCACGCAACTGGAAATGTTGTCCATTTAAATGTTCGCCCATTGTTTGCAAATATCGGTCATGCTGTTAAGTTATCCATGTCAACAGCTTGTGACATAATTAACGGTTGGGTTAAATCTCACCTGAATATTGTGGAGAGCAAAAATAACAGCCGTACGGGATTGTGAAGCAACAATGGACTGGTCAGTAAATGCTAGCTCATTAATTGAAGAGGCATGGTCGTTATTCGAAGGTTCATTTATCATAATTACGTTCCCGTTTACGCCATGCATAGTACTATATATGCCAAACAACCGTCCACCACAGATAACTAAACGAGTCAAGAAAGACCTTGTAATATGTTTATCTCTACAGGTTCTGAACAG